TAAACTGAGTATGAGATAATGTTGCAGTGCTGTCACAAAAAAGCAGATGCCATACCAGGTTTTATAAACAGGAGAATCACCTGAAAAGTTGTGAGAGCGTCCTTTAGCTTTTTTTTTAATGCTTTTAGGACGTTATCGTTGAGGACTCTGAGGGGTGCATGAGGTGCTGTGTGCTTCCAGGAACTTTTAGACCAGTTGGAGAGTCCAGAAAAAGGTTCGAATTTAGAAGTAGTATGTGGCCTACAGGGAAAGCTCAAAATAAAAGACAGACCTCAGTTCTAAGTACGTAAAACGCTGCTGTAAAGAAATAGGGAGTGTGTATTCCCAGTCCATAATGTGTAGGCTCAGTTAAACTAATGCATTGAAATTGAAATAAGTGTGGCTCAGGCTGTATGTGTGGAAAACTTCAATAGTGGGGAACAAACTAAACAGATTGAGTTTGGAAGGTTTTAAAAATCCAGGGTTACTCAGAACTGCCAGCAGAAGAGCCTGTTGGAATTGCTAGGTCCTCTTGTTCTCGCTCCTATCTGTAGATCTTTTTTTCAGTCCTTTGTATGTTTTGGTTACTTACTCTGATCTTACCTCATTCTGTACATTTGTTTCTTTCCTTCCTGTGGTGCTGCCTGGTATTTTCTTCTCTGCCAGGCTCTTTGGTTTCTGCCGATTTCCACTCGTAGTTTAGGTGTAGAACAGAAAAACAATTGTTTCTCTTCCATGAGTTAGGTGGGGTTTTTGTTTGGTCTTGCTTGTACAAAAGCATACTTTCACAAATCACCTTTCTTCTCAGGGGTCAGTTTTTCAGATCATCTTATCTTGCAGTGTCTACTGAGCTTAAGTTTTCTCTGCAGCTTCTCTCTTCCATCACTACTTCTGATTTCCATCTGAACTCTGTCTCTGTTCCCAGCTGGATCTCTCATGTGAAACTCTGTCGAATATCGATTTGTAGTTAATGTACATGCTGCGACTTTTGTACCTCTTTATTTTGGGTTGTCTGCAGGCTTTGGTTTCTTCTGCCTCAGGAACCATCACCGTTTTAAAATGAAGGTGCTCCCTTCTGCACAAACCCGCTTTCTGGTGCTATTTGCTTTATTGGCCTTCTCAGTGAGTGCCCTCACTTTTAAACCTTTCTCCAAGGTCTGTTCTGCATTCTGCTTTAATGTCAGGAGTTAATTCTGGTAGTTGTCCGGATCCTTCTGCACTTGAAGTCACTGGCTTCTTTCATTTACTTATTCCTTGTCAGGCTGATGCAAAGTTAAAAACTGGAATGCCCTGAAATGATGCCTTTGTCAAAGTGTGGAATCTAGCGGTAGCAAGAAAACATCTTGGTCTTCTCAGCTTTCTGAGTTAGTAGTAGATATGCTGACTTGCTGTTGTCCTTCCTTATCAGCCAACAGTAACAGTGTTAGGTGGAAGTGAGCATCTTAATTCCTCTTGGCCATTTTCCCTGGTCAGAATTTTGAGTGCTGCCTTCACTTGCAAATTGTTCAGATCTGGTTTTGTTCTTGTCTTGGTTTTGTTCTTGTATCAGGTTTGTACACAGTTGCCTTTTTATTTGAGTTTTCAATTAAATTATGTAAGATTTTCCATCACAGAATGAATGGTTGTCTGTTTCTTGGGTCTATATTTTTTTTCCAGAAAGAATATTTTGTCCATTTGCGGTGAATAGAATTAAATTTCAATTCAGGAACCCTCTGTAGTTGCCGTTGGCACACTCCTCTCCGCAGAGCCACCTGGAGGGAAGAACCAAGCCACCTCAATAGGGGAAGGCTGTTGGATGTCCAGAAATGCTCCAAGAGATCCCTTGCTGTTGTTACTGAGTAGTACTAGAATAAATCTTTCTTCTTTCTGCTCTATGTCTTATAATCAGTATTTAGTTTTAAGTCTACTACTAACTGCATTTTTAGAAACCTAATTAGGAAAGAGAGTATTTTTAATTGCGTACTGTTGGTGTTGCTCACTGTTTTCCCATAGTTTTCAGTTTACCTTGTCAAGAAGGGTTTTCATCTCAAGCACTTTCTTGTTTCTTAAATTAGTTTCAGCTGTTAATCACAGTCATTGGTTCTGCCAGTTCTACTGTTTTGGGGGTTTTTTTACTTTTCATTTTGTTACACTTTAGTAGGTTTTTTTTAAATTGAGATTTTCTTAAGCGTTGTCTTTTCTCTCAGCCTAAAAATCCAATACCCTTCATTATCAAGTACAGCATGAAGTAATGGAGAGATGCTCCAGGATTTGCTTACCTTAGCGCAGTGTACTAATGCTGACCTTTTACAGAAATACAGCATTTCCATGGAAAAATTGTGTGCTCAAATAAAACAGACTTTGACATTAATTGTTACCATTTGTTAACAGAATTTTGTTCTGTTTAGCACACTTGCTTATCCCTAACAGGAGAGCAAACTTGCATATTATTTTATTGATCATTAGTCAATCATTTTTGCTTTGGGGAAAATTTCGTTTAGAAATATGTCAGTATTTATATTTGAGTATTTACTCTTGTTTGTTTGTTTTTCTTTATTTTGATTACCATTAGGGGAATTCCTTGGTACTTTTTAGTAATTCCTGTGACATTGAAAGTCACAAAAGTGAAAGACTCAGGCAGAGAACCCGACTGTCTGTACAGAGTGGGATGCGGTACCTGATTCTTTTAGTGAGGCTGTAGCAGGTCTGATGTCAGTCACTTCAGAGACCTTTAGACCTCAGTGCTCATTTATTGCTAAAATGTACCAGCTCTGCTCCTGCATTATGAAGATCATCTGTCAACACTTTGAGATATTCTCCTTTGTTATTAAGCTTGTGATGCTCTACACTGTCAGGTTTTTTGCCAATTATAGTTAAGGTACAATGGTGTATTCACTGGATCAAAGTCTCACACTGGCGGTAGAGGAATGATTTGTAAGTCTTTATTCATCTGAATTGTACAATAGAATACCTGAGGAATGCAAATAATCCCTCTAAGGACTCAATAGAAAAGCTGTTAAAATGACAGTCTAAGACTATTATTATTCTGAATTGGTGTTTTAGCCAAAGTAATTATTTCTCATGTTGTTGTTCCACAATAGTTCTTAGTTTATTAGTTATGATGACCATATTTACCAAACAGTATTTGAAACCAATTTTTGACATTACTTTCATGCTCCTTTCACCTTTTCGAGTTTGCATGTTTCATTCTGTCTTTCATTTGGTACATTATTTAATTAGCCTAGAGACCAATGTTGCGTACTTTCTTTAAAAAAAAAAAGTATGTATGCACAGATGTTGAAGTACACTTGTGAATAGCAGATCTGTTTCTAGGTACATTTTCTGTAAAAGGTTGGCATTTATAAGCTCTGAACTTTGATATCCAGTTTGTTAGCCAAAATAAATTAGTTAACTACAAATGTCAATTTTAGAAGTGCTGTTAAATGTCACATGCCACATTCAGAAATGCACCTTAATTGTGATTTTCAGTTCAGATGTTTCTGAAGGCAGTAGTGCTTCAGTATCAGTCCTGGATACCAGACTATATTTTCATTGGATAACTGGAGGAAAAAAAGATTAGTATAATGAGGATTGAAAACCACTGATGGGGTATTTACATAAGTAAATGATAGAAGACCAGCCTTATATTGCAAACGTGTGAAAACTGTTGGGTGAACTTTTATATTCTTTGTCCCATCTAAAACCCTACTCAGTGGGCCATGCACTTAATCTCATAATAGCTCTGATCCCCTGCTATTTTCTTTGACAAATGTGTGTTGATGAACTTGTGGTTCAGTTCATTTTTTTCTGAAGTGACATTTGCATTGATTATTTAAAGGTTTGCAGGCCACAGTTTCAAAGCACTTTAGTATAATAGCAGTTAAAGCCTTAGTCTAAATCTTGGAGATTAGCAGGACCAAGAAAAAGAACTCAGCGAGCATAAAACCCTGTGCTGTATGGTTGGTGCTTCAGGTCTGAAACATCTATGGCACCCAAAGTACTGTATTTTGTACTTTGTGTCTTAGTGTACCGGAAATATTCCCATGCCTCTTGAGTTGTCTTGCTGAGCATACAGAGTTGTCATTCTTACCATTCACACCCATTCAGAAACGGTGCCCTGTAAATAACATTGAACTCCTTACAGGTAATTTATGAATGTCTCCCTTAAATGCAAAATAAATAGTATTTTCAGTCATGAATGTGATGCCTGTGTCTAAAGATTGTTTAAATATCAGCTACTGCTGCAAAGCTTTTCTTAATTTTTAATAGGATACTGAACATGCAAAACTAGCACCATAAATCTCTAGCTCTAAATTTGTAGTTTTGTACAACAAAAAAAAAGAAATACATTAGATGTACAGCAAACTTACTGATGCTGCCAGTTATTGAAGACGAAGAGAAATAGGACATTTGATTCTTTATTTTAAAACAATATTTAGAAGCGTTGGCCTGGGGAGGTAGTAGAAACTGGTGGAAACATGGACCTGTATTCATTAGCTATGGCATACTCCAAGATTAAGAGCCAGAAGAAGCAGGGTGCTGCTTGCTATCTAGTTTATAGAGCGTAGTGGCTTTTTCTGTCTGCCAGTACCAGACAGTGCCCTAGCCACTGAGGTGCTTTAAAAAAAAAAAAAAAAAGTCAGAGGAAGAACTGGAGACCCACAGTTTTACCGTGTTTGATAAATATCACTCTTTGAAGTTTCAGAAAAATACACATCCACAGAACTAGAAAGTTTTATTCAGTTAGTATTTTAGATTGCAGGTATTTAACCTCTACCAAAAACCTGGTTATTGTCTCAAATTATGCCTATTTCTGATAGATTAAATGCCAAACAGAAACCAAGAAACAGTGAAATGTTAATGGAGTACACCTGAAGCAATTGCTGCCTGTTAATGCCTTGACCTTGGAAAGCAATACACAAAAAGATGGCATCATAAAACCGTGCAATTCTTATGAATATGTATGTGCTACTTGATAATAATGAATGTGGTACAGCCATGCATGCACTACAAGATAATGTTGTGCCCTTTGTTGTCTACAGGTTGATAAAAATTAAAGAGTGGGTGGACAAGCACGACCCGGGTGCTTTGGTCATTCCTTTTAGTGGGGCCTTGGAACTCAAGTTGCAAGATATGAGTGCTGAGGAGAAACAGAAGTATCTGGAAGAGAACATGACACAAAGGTTAATTAGCATTCATTTTCACTACACTTTATTATCAACTATTTCCTTGCAGTAATTTAATTGCTTGTGCTGATAGAATAATAAATGACAGAGTAATTACCATTATAAAGAGAGAATCTTCTCCTTTCTTTACCATGAGACAGAGTGAAAAGATTTATTTTAAATTAAGTTTTTAACTGTCATCTGTCATCTCTGTACAGTGTTTTAATTATAACATAGGTATTAGTTATGTATATTTTTGAGAAGGAATGATCACCAAAACTGTTTCGTCATCCATGGGGAATAGGGACGGTGGGGAAAATTCTGCCATAATTTTTCTGAAGAACTGTAATAAATTGTTTCAATATTGAATTTCAGTCAAACGGTTATGCTTTCATGACCTGGAGTACTGAAAATTGCATGAGACCAAAAGTGCTGCCTGATGGGGTGATTTAAATCTATCCCATATTTCTGTAGCCTGCCGAATAAACAAATCAACATACTGTCTTTATGATTCTGTAGTAAAAAAGTACTCTCTTCTGAAGAGAGTTCAAAGAAAAAGGCTACCGTGATTATTGCTGTGTTTAGAAGTAGACCCAGTATCTTCAAAACATGTGATGTCTTTCCACGTAAATTGATTACTTGGGGCATTTAGCTGTTTTATGTGTATATGTTGAATGAATTGGATTCATTTTTTTTTCAGTGCTTTAGCAAAGATCATTAAGGCTGGATATGCAGCACTCCAACTAGAATACTTTTTCACTGCAGGCCCAGATGAAGTGCGTGCATGGACCATCAGGGTAAGATTCATACTTATTCATCAGCTATATCCAGTTCCACACTATTGAATTCAGATTGATATCACTGACTTTGAAGTTTGTCATGGTGGCGGTTAGCTAGTCATTACAGATGAGGTTTTTGTCCAGGATAACTTTAATTATTTGTGAGCTGCTGAACAGTGAAAGTGGAGCTGCATTGATTGAGGCAGGTAACAATTGATTCTGCCTATTACATAGTCTGAATTTCTTCATCCTGTAGAATCTGTCTACCCTCCTCCTGTGGTCAGAGATAAGACGTACCAGTATTGTGCTTGCTTAATCTGTGTGACTGGGTTTGTCTGCAGTGAAATTGATGTTGCTTTTCATTTTGTATTCAACTAAGTTTGTTTGGGTTGCGGATGGTTCATTCCTCCTTTGCTTTGCTCGGATTACATTTTCAGCAATAAAAGCAATATAACATCATTATATTCCTCATGGATACACAGTTGGGCTCAAAAACCTAAAATCAGTGTGCAGTGATTCAGGTCTTTTACTGACTTTAATATTTAGACCCAGTTTATTTTGGTAGTTTTATATGTTTATCCGAGAACTTACGTAATGCCTAAAATTATATTGTATATTTTAAATATTGCAGTAGAATGATTATAGCCTTAGAGATCGACTAATTTATTCCCAGAGGACAGTGAGAGCTGAGCTGTAGTGGTTTGCTTTTGAATGTAAATACGTTATATTATAGAGATTAGTATTGAAAAATATTTCTAAATGCATGTAGTTACAAACTCTATCTTAAAAATTGCAAAAATGTCAACTTTTGGAGCTGCAAATTTGTCACTGAGCTTTTATTTTTTGCAGCAGTGTACTTAGTGCTGTGCAGTGAATTTCAGTGCCGTATTTAATTTCATTCAATGGAATTAATTTGTTTTCATTAATCAACATAATTTCCAGTAAATTTATATTTTTATTAATACTGCTACAGATGTTTGTGTGTATGTTTTAGCATGTTAAACTTATCTTCCTAAAAACATGTTTATTTTTTTAGCCTTTTCATCTCGTCTCCTTTTACATGATAGCTGCTAGCTGGAGTCCCTGAAATAGCTACCAAAATGATATAAAAGCAGAAGTTTTGTTGCTCTGATTCTTGCCATAGTTTTTAAAAGCACATTCTAAACTCCGCTGTTTTCAGTAGGAGGAATGCTTGCTCCTTATTAGAAAATTTGAAAGCTGGTTTATCTTAAGACTGATTGTAAGTATCTTTGATTTAATGTGCAAAGATATTTAGTCAGGTAAGCATCAGTGAGTAGCCATATTAACCCAATACATCTTTTATTGTAAAAACTGTGCTTTACAGTGTCAGACTCCTTAGCACTTTAACATGCTTTATTAAGCAGCCTTTAGGTCACCATTATTTCTCAAATTTCTCTCCATGGTTGTATGTGCACAGAATGTATGTCCTTGTAATTTAAAGCATGCAGTTATAATGCATTCTCCTCTATTGCATAAACCTAAATTATCTTATAATAGTTGCCTGTGATTTTTTAAAATTTTAGTGATTCAGTTGTTGACATTTTGGTAAGAATACTCATTTTGTTCTATATTAGACTTACTAAATTATTCTGAACTAAAAAATAGCTAATATGTAGGGCTTGAGATCCATAAATCATTTTTGTTTACAAATGTGGTTCGCCAATGAATGTTACCATTTAATTGAAATTATTTGGATGTAAGTAAAAGCCTTGAGTAAAAGTGACTTAAAAATCTTGATTTTTCTCACTTTGTGTATGGAGAGCTAGGGATCGAAGTGAATCTCACCACAAAACACAGTCATAGCTACCAAAATCAATACTGCTGTTGCTACCTATTAGGAAAAACAAAGCTGCCCTTCTTTTGTTTTAACTGTTTTATCAGTTGTTTTATCTGTGGGGAAGGCATTTATCTGTATGTCCCAATATTGAGAATTACCCAGCTGTATGCATGACATTTTAACTGATACGAAACAAAGTTTCAGCAGATCCTGAAAGCATATCAAAAAGGAGAAATGTCTTTCCTGCAATCAATCTTCTTAAATGCAATTAATTTTCTTCCGGCCTTTCCTTTGACAGAAAGGGACGAAGGCTCCTCAGGCAGCAGGGAAGATTCACACAGATTTTGAAAAGGGATTCATTATGGCTGAAGTAATGAAATATGAAGATTTTAAAGAAGGAGGTTCAGAAGCTGCAGTCAAGGTGAGCTCCCCATCTTTTTCTTCTCCCTTCCTCCATCTGTGCCATTTTTCTGTTTCAGGTCTATTTTTCACTGGGAAGAAGTTCCTGATGCTAAGTTAATCTTAATAGTCATGTCTAGCAATAGACCAAAGTCTATTTTCATCTTTTACTTAAGAAAGAGTTTGAATGCACCAACATACTGAACAGGAATGCAACTATTGCAGTATCCAAGATATGACAATTTGTAGACTAAATGTGAACACTAAGACCAAATGCTATGCTGATTTTTTTTTTCTTTGTTGACACGTTAGTATTCAGAATTTAATAAGCTTTAAACTCAGCTTATTTTTTAAAAATCAATTTTCTAAGATGAGATAGCAGATTTTTGAATCACCTCTAAAAGGAAATGCAAGACACACAGAAAGTCTGTTTCTTCTAATAATGTGTCATCTTGTTTTGAGTTTCCAGTGAAGGTATTACAAATGTCAGATGCAAATGGTTAAGAAAATTTATATTAAATTATAAAAATGTACCTTTTTTTTCAGGATTAGTGAATTCCACTCCTAAGCTCCGATAGGCGTAATTACAGTCTTAAAATTTACCATTTCAGTATTTAATTCACTCACCTTCTGATGTCTTATTCAAAAATGCCATGCCTTACTTTGATTGTTCATGGTCTCAGTAATAGTAGCATGTAGTCCATGAAAATATATGACAATAGGTGAAGTTTCCTAGCTACTATCTACCAAATATACAGTGAAGGTTTTTAATGAAAAACTTTTTTCTTCAGCTCGTGCTTCTTTGTAGTGACACTTCTATTAAGAAGAGTTTTATCTGCTTTCTCAACACTAGAGGGCAGAGACTGATTGGGTGCCCAAAGTTGAGCCCTTCTTTTATAGCTGGCAAATTATATCTGATTGGAAGTTATTAAATATGAAATGAACTTGTACATGGCGAATAAGTGCCATAAGGAAAGCTGTTCTCTGCATTGCTGTTGCATTATTTCCAACTTCTTTAAGCAGAGAAACTTCCCTTTATTTTGTACGCATTTGATGTCTCATTTGTCATTTTTGATGCTTTGTTAAGTTTTGTATTTTATAAAATTGCAATTACATAGCACGTTAGTTTGATTTAATCAATCTCAGTATTTGAAGGTTCCTACACACTATAGTATGTTAAAGAATTTAAAAGGTTCGGCTTTATTGTTTGTGATTTGATAGCTTGAAAGGTATGCAAAACTATGATTTCAAATTCAGCTTATTCTCAGTGGTATCACTAAGGAAGATCATACTGAGCAGCGGGACTTTAATAGGTTTGTTTGAACCCCAGGAAGTGAGGAAAAAAATCCCAGTATAATTGGTTCGTTGCGGCATGTGAACTGCCATATGAAAAGGGAAGTAGAGTTGTAGTTGTAAAGTGAAATCACAGCTATAAATAAATCTAATATTCTGCAGCCAGAAGCCACTTTATGTAACCAAGATTCAAATTTTGGCAGCAACAGTTTTTGATGCTCAAATCTGAGTGATTTCCCTGAGAAACTGCATCAGTTAATAGGTATTAAATTAATCTGTAAGTATTTTGCTTGTATGTTTGTATTTACTTTTCAGAATGTGAGATTCTAAACATCAGGCTTCCATGTTCGAATTATATTTAATGATTAAATTTTTATTGTTTCAAAGTATCTATAAAGCAAGCGTATTTACATTCGTTACTCAGTTTTCAATCAAGGTTAGAAAAAAACCCCTTGCTCGTAGAAAAATGTGTTATGTTACTCTAGTCTTTCCTAATTTGCATTTAATACAATGTTTCATGCCATACCCAATACCAATTACTTTTATATTGCTGGTAAATTTCAAAATTAAATTTGGGAGCTTTTAGGAGTCAGCTGAAATAACAGTGGTAATGGGAGCTGCTTGCTTTGTGTGTTATCGAGTTGATCGATTTTTAAGTTTGATTTTGTGTGTGTCTAACACCAGTACAGCATAACTAATTTAATGCCAGTGCTGTGAACTATACACTGAATAGCTCTGTGTGGGCTTTGTAGTCTACAGGGATATCACATTATTAGCAATCATATCTGCTTAGGCAAAGCTGGCTTCTACAGATGGCTGCTTTCAAGTGCAAATGAACTGGTTAGACGTGTCTTGTTTAATACATACTCAAGATTCACAAATGGGTATTGATTTTTTCAACCAGTGTTTCTGATAGCAATGGAAATGGATTAAATGGTCTCTAGAGAATTTAAAGGAACACTGTCACTTTTAATTAACTGTAAACTGGTAACAAAAATACATAAACTTGCATTAGTGTGTCAAAATGTGTTTAATTATAGAAGCCCACGCCACTTTGACAGCGTGCAATAGTGTGCTAAAAAAAAAAATAATCCACGTTGTTATTTTGTGAAGGTCAGTTTTCTCTACAAGTATTTATGAGTAATAAATGTGTTCGACTGTAAAATGTCTCTGTACCTGTGCCCGCAGCTTACGCTTGCTGATGATTTTTACAGCACTGTTTTATTAGTGTTTATGCCATCAATTAGTCTAATTACTCTTGACTTTGAGCATTATTAGGATCTTCAAAGGAAAGAAATATGAAGTCTACTTGAAAGTAAACCTTTGATAGTCTAAACAGATTTCCGGGGCAGGGGGGGAATATAGAAACATTTGCGAAGTACTATTTATTATTTATTGATAGTGTCATATGGGATAAGGTCAATTACTATTGCACTATATGTTTATTGTTGAGGCTATTTTATCTGCAATGTTCTGTGGGCTAGCATCACTGGTGACAACATTGAAATAAGGAATGACAGCAACAAGGTTATCGAGCCTCTAAATTCCTAGACAGCGATATGGGGAAATACGTTGCTTTACAGAGCAGGTTTTGTGAAAGAAAGGTGTCTAAGTTAACTATGTACCATTAATCTGATCTGTTCTACTGCAACTAAGGTCATTAGTTAACAGCTTTCCTGTAATGGGATCTTAGCGTGCCACCACTGTGATAGTGTCATTGAGAATAATGGCACAGTGAGGTCTTGCATGGAAGCGCTTTCTCCTGCAAGAGGAAACTTCAAAACAGGAATGGTTATTGAACTAAAGCAGAAGCTCTCAACTTTTCCATATTGTAGATCACTTTTCAAGATAAATGCTTCTGCAGACCACCTCCCGCCCAGTCTGTCAGTCCTAATGCCACAGCTTCTCCGTAGCCTCTATAATACTAGGTTTAATTACGGCAAGGTAAAGATGGAAAAATATAATAATAAATTCTAATGCGGAGGGTACTGATATTTAATAGATTCCTTGCCTATTTTCTGCTCTCCTCAAGTACAGCATATTCATATTCTTTTCATGTCTTTGGTCTGTATGCTCCAGTATCCTGGTTTCACAGCCTCTCTGCTCTTATATCTGTCCTTCTGAAGCAAATTTCTTCTAAAGGAAATTTCTGACAGGAAAACGGAGCCTATGTTTTGTGCTCCTCAGTCCTTCATTATCTGGGCACACGCAGACGAGAGAGCCTGGCTCGGAGCACCAGGCACGTACGGTTGGGGCTCTTGCGTAGCGCTCCCGCATTTTGTTCTGGCAGTACTCGCCTGGCCAGCCGCACAGCGGTCGTTCATATACCCATTTAACGGCCGCGCGGCCACGATGCAAACTGTTGCCGATCACCCTCACCAGCAATGTTCTCTTAGATTCCTGCCGCCAGTGTTTGCCATCTGCGGGTTTTTTAAATGAAGAAAAAGAAAGCCCAGAAGCTGCCGGGGGGGAAATTGAGTCGTTTTAGTGTCCTTTATCTTAAGACTTGCCAGTGCTTACAGAGTTGCCACTATATAATGCAGATGGCATTTAAGCACCACCGATTCAGTGGAGGTTAAGTTATCTTTGTATGTATTTTATATGTATGTAAAACCAAGTTATGTCAAACTGATGAGTATTGTGGCTGTCAAACTCTGAAGCTGAAGTACTACCATTTCTTTACCAAAATGTAATTGAATAATTACAATTTGAAAATACTATAAAATGTCTAATTAAATGACCCGTTTTCCTTTTGTCTGTTCTATTTACAGGCTGCTGGAAAATACAGACAACAAGGCAGAAATTACATAGTGGAAGATGGAGATATTATCTTCTTTAAATTTAATACACCTCAACAACCCAAGAAGAAATGAATATCAGGTGTTGTTCATTGCTCAGAAATAAACTGTGCTGCTTCAAGAAGCATATAAATTTTTATTTAGGATGGAATATCTGGAAACAAAAAGCATACAGTTTGTACCTAGGGAACCTCCCCTCCCCGCAGTGAAATTATTCTTGTTTGTTTTGAATTAAAATATGGCACCTCAGCGAACATGCAAGTTCACTAAATGTGAACAGCTTTGCATTTCAAACAATTAAGACCCTACTCCAAATTGTAGAAGCTTTTCAGGAACCATATTACTCTCATGATACTTCATTAATCTCCATCATGTACGCCAAGCCTGACACGTTTGACAGTGAGGACAATGTGGCTTGCTCCTTTTTGAATCTACAGATAATGCATGTTTTACAGTACTCCAGATGTCTACACTCAATAAAACATTTGACAAAACCAGCCTTGGTGTGTTTGGGGATGTCTGTATTGACTGACTGTGGTGTGCTGAATGCGATACGGCACCTGGTGGATGCTGATTACAGAATTTTAAGACGTGTATGATACAGTAACTGGCAGTGTGGGGCAGCTGCAATTGTATCTTGAGAGTGAGTCTTTCATGGGAATCAGAAGATTAGGATGCCAATGATTTGTCTCAAAAAAGTTAATGAATTTGTAGATGGACATTCACTGAAAGATGATAGTAAGGATAACAGGAACGATGCAGCGTAAATTATTTTTACTGGAGAGAGGAAATATATGTAGAAAAATAATATTATTTTTGAGACGGAAGCTTTTTTGTTCAAATCATTTTGAAAAAGTATCTCATTCTTGCCTTGAAATTATTAAATTGTAGAGGCTGGAGCAGCAGTGCCTGACGTTGTGTGTTGTCCTCTCAGGTCTGGTTTTCAGGCCAGCGGAGGGTGACACAGATAGCGTTGTGAAGGAAGAGGTGACGCTGTGCTGGGTAGGTAAGTCGTTCTGCCGAAATAAGGTTGCAGCTGTGAGTACTTTTTTACCCCTTCAAGCGTGAGGGAGAGCTAGTCTCTTTGGGTAGCACGGAAGAATAAGCTGCTGGCAAAAATAAAACCAAGTTTGTACTTTTAATGCAAGCTGTAGAATTGTCCTTTCTTGGCGTTTGTTTAATGCATTTAAAACAGCCTGCCTCTTCCTGAAGTGCCCGTGGTGTCAGCTATGGATTCAGTGGGGTCAGGGCTGGGAGAGATGCTTACGTTACCTGTGGCTTGTTGGTGTGCCAGACCTCTCAACGTTGCTGTGATAAACTTGCTTGCTATAAACTTTGACAAGACAACTTATCACTGGTTAACCTCCCCTCTGTGTTCAAGATACTGGGAGCGCTGGTCATGTCCTGCTCCAAGACTTCCCTTGAGATGCGCCTTTGAGCTTCGCTGCTCGTTTCTGAAAGAGTAAGACATGGGTCAGCCAGAGCCACGGGGCTCATTGTTGAAAAGTTGGCATCATGCCTTTAATTGCAGTGAGGAGGAAGAGGGAGGGTAGATGAATTCAACACATAGTTGTTGATTTTGTTTTAAAGAGCGTCTCCTTTTTTTGTGGTGGCAGGAGTGGGGAGAGCATTGTAAAGCAGGGAAATGAGGACTTCAGGAGTTTTGGAACCCTCGAAATTCTCTTTTGTATCATCTCTCTGCTGCAGCTAGTATTTGTTCTTGGCGTTATTTTGGTGTTACATACTCGAGAAAAGATTAGGACCACCAAATTTTGTGTTAAAAGTCACATCCGAAAGAGAGCGGAGCTTGCCTGTTTCTCTCGGAAGTCGGCGAGGTGCTAGTTATAGGGAAGGGCTCGTGCTGGGTCTGAGACGCGATGCAAGGGGCGCGAGAAGTGGAGTATATGTGTTGGTGAAAGAGAAGTAACCTCTTGGCTGCACTGATACCCGCTGAAATGTGTTCTCTTGTCCTGGCTGAAAGTCATTCTGGATGCCAAAATATTCCCATGCTCCATAATTATTACATGTCGGTGAAGAAATGGTTAGAAAGGACGGCACAACTAATGGATTGCTTTGTATTTTTGCATCTCTTAGTTACATTTAATAAGCCATATTTGTTTAGATTTGAATGCGTGTACTTCACAATACCGCCCTATAAAAATAATTAAAATTAAATTAAAATTAAATTAAATAATAATTAAAAGTTGAACTAAGTTGTTCTGGATAGACAGGGTTTTTTGAAGTTGAATATGCTGAAAATAGAAAACAAAATATTTGCCACACCTTTAAAAAGATACATTCTCTAACGTTTTGTGTTTCAGCTTATTAACTTGCCCTAATAGTTTATCTCTTCAGCTTTTTTAACTAATGTTCTTTCACCTCCTGAAGCTAATCAGTTATTCCAGAATAAAAAACAAGTTTTATTAAAAGAAAGAATAAACAGATAAGCTCTGTTACTCCTATCCCTGGTGACTTTGCGGCAACTGCCACATTAAATACTTGCAGCCTGTGTTTCTCCTCAGTGGGTCTATGCATTTAAGATGTACAACTCTTTAAAAGCTTGCAGATACACGTAGGAAGTTTCAAGCACTCTGTTTTAAATAGAATTGTGATTTAACTTAAGCCAAGCACACATTATTTATGCATTTCAGCCTGCACAGGTGACTCCAGGTGCAATGTATCCATCCTCACATTTGCTGTCTAGTGGGGGGGAAAAGTGAAATCCGGCTGCATGCTCTTCACTCTTGGTTGCCTGTGCTCACTGGGGATGATGATGGTGAGTAGGAGACATTTTGTTTCTCCAGCTGGAGAAGGCTGAGAAAACACTACAGGCACCGTTCCTCCAAAATACGGAAAGTAGGGAATTTTGCAAAGGAGGAGTACTAACCCTTCCTCTGAACTTGCGTTCCTCGGTGGCTGACGGCCTGTTGCTGGGGTTAAGCAAATGCCAGCGGGCCGGGGGAAGGGCTGCTACCTGCCTCCAGGCTGACCACAAGGGAGCGCTGAAAGGGGCGCGGAGGGGTCGGTGGCAGCCGCCGTGCCTGCGCTGGCACGGGGGGACCGTGGGAGTCGATCCGGAGAGCGAAGGCACGGAGGGCCTGGTGTTCCCACGGATTGTACTTGAGGGGCTACTCGGACTAGTTAGAGGGCAGTTTTCACTTCAGTGTCAAGAGAGAACCAGTTTGCTGTAAGATACCCAAGGGATAACCAGTTTGCCTGCTGCGAGACGCCTGTGCAATGCAGAGCAAAGCAGGGAGCGCGCGTGTGTGTGTGTGTCGCCATCAGGAGATTCACTGCTTTTAAAAGCACGTTCTTGGTCAAATAAAACCGCTGCTGTAGACAAGCAAGGACTTACTGCCATCTTGTCTTGGCAGCATCAATAGCAGTAGCTAGGTGATGTGCTCGGGCACCCCAATATGTGACATTTCAGACCATTAAGAAGCACAAAGAAGAACAGAAATTCAGCTTCTGAAGACTGTTTGGCCCATGGGTACCTCTCGTGTAGGATACAGCTTTCTGTCCCAACCAGCGTTTTCTGGAACAGTGCAATGGGAGCAGGCTTGGGCTTTCTGTGTGGGTTAACATACCGGGTAGAATGTCGTATTGTTTCCATAGTATTTGTTACCTGAAGTAAAACAGATAGTGGGTGTGCTCAGTGGTCAGTGATGAACTAGAAATAGCCACCTAACTGCCTGAAACTCGGGTCCGTTTGTCCGGCTATTTGAAGTAACACTTCAGTAGGATAAGAGCCACCAAGATGTAGTTGGCCATCTCTTGGCTGCTGTTTGAGCTTCTTTGGGGTCAGAATATTCCACAGAGGAACTGAAGGATTTCCATGTCTTCATAAATTCAGTGCTCAGGCTAGTGTGGGTAATGGGCTAAGACAAATACTTATTTTACATGGTTTCAGCACTTCTTGCCACAAGATGATGTGGATGCTGAAGGCTGGCAAGGGCTCAAAAATGCTTGGACAAAGCCATGGGGGAAGTAAAAGAGCGTTGAGTGGGAAAAAACCCCAACTGTTAAAAACAAAGGTATGGCCTCTGCACTTGGAGCGTCCTTAAGTCACAAATTGCTGGATGCTGGGAGGAAAACTGGTATATATACCTTGTCTCAGTCCAGCATCTGTCAGCCACTGTTAAAAACCAGGATGGTGGACTGAATGGGTCTCTGATCTGACCCAATACCACTATTCTGTCCTCCTCTCCACAGCAACTTTTATTCAAAGGCTATCCCCAAACACCAGTAAAGAGCATGATCTCTTTAATGTCCTTCCTGGTTCTGCATTTTGATTAAAATCTTTATTTAAAAAAAAAAAAGTATTGTCTTAATTTCATGTTTATCTGCTCTTTCATTGACGGTGTCCAGCCCTGTAGAGGTGATAGCATTATCATAATTGTTTTAAATTATTTACCTTTCCCGAAGGGTCCTTTCTTACCTGCTGTAGGTTTCCATCTACCATCTCCCCTTCATCACCCAAGTTCGCCCTGATCTCTCCCCTGACCACAGCTCCTGCTTGGTCAATGAGTCTGTGTATCCCATCACCTTTTTGCTTCGAAAACAAAATGTTGTAAGTCGTATTTTCCCTGTTCCTCCCCCATGGAACAGATGTCCAGCTGGAGTGGCTGTACTGTCGCTGGGGTAGCTGAGCCGAGCACTTCCCGGCGCTTTGCTGAGCGCGGCGTGCCCCGGCACAGGGGTCCTGGCTGGGCAGCGCGGCAGCCCCCGGGCGTTCAGCCCGGCAGCAGTGTCTCTGCTCCTCCTGCCTCTGCCCCGGCAGGCTGGCAAATACGCCTTGTGGCTCTGAAGGTATCGGGAACGCGTTTTCTCAGTGTGGCGTTTTAGGTTCTTGTGGCTGCCAGGCTTGTTCAAACCGTCTTTGCAGAGCTCTGTCGGTGGGTAGTGATGCTGCGTGCCCTGTTCTATCGAGTGGTTAAACGCTGAGTCTTTCTTCTACCAGGGGCAGGGTAGGACCGTAAAATCGCACTTTGAAAGACGAGCGTCTGTATGGCAAGGCTTTCAGTTTAAAAAATTTTAGCAAAATTTTAACATTTCTCTCCTCTCACGAACTCAGCTCACAGAGGATGAAGGGGAGGGGAATCATTAGAAGTTAGTGATTGTTTAAAACTAATAATCACTTGTCTCAAATTTTACTCCCCCCGTACTAATTCCATATGTTTGATTATGCTAATCCACCATTTCGCTTCAATTAAACCAGGAAAACCACTGGAGGCTTGGGGGGGGGGACGGACACGACAACAACAAAATAAAAACTAATCGAAGTAGCGGTATTCATCACAGTATCCCAGCAGATTGAAATCGCAGCGTGCTGGTTGGGCTTTGGAAGTTTTGAAGCCAATTCTGCATTTTGAGGCTGTGTTTTGGAAGCCGCTCTTTCTTGGCTTCTCTCCACAGGTAGTGTCCGTCCCCCATCCATGGGAGCAGACGCCTATGGCAGCGCGTTGCGTGTTGCGAAACGAGTTACGTGCGCATGCTT